TATGTATATATATATATAGAATATTAGACTTAATATGTGTATGTGTATGTGTATATATATATATATACATATGTTGTAAAGTGTATATATGCATGTATACATATACAGATTTATTTATATATATATATATATATATATATATATATATACATTCTGCAATGATTTTGTCACGGGTGTTTATCACGTTTCTTGCATCTGACCTCCTAATTCAGCTTGGGTGGTGCATGCTTCGTTGTGGATGTTTCACGGTCTTGCAGGGTCTGAGCCCCTCTGATACCAGGGAAGGTACAGGGCTCAGGCTTCAGCCGGTGGGGTTTAGGGTTTAGGGTTTAGGGTTTAGGGTTTAGGGTTTAGGGTTTAGGGTTTAGGGTTTAGGGTTTAGGCTCAGAACTACAGAGGTACGCCACAAAGGTGGCGAAGCTTAAAGCGGAGGCCCTCTCCCTGAAACGGACCCCAGAGTTGGGATCCTATTGGGGCATGGGAACCCATAGGCTCCATGTACCCATATGGTATGGACTCTATAAGCCGATATAGGCGATATAGGGGTGGTTGTCAAAATTATGGTCCCTTTTGGGGTACCCTAAATAATAGGTGCCGTATTATGATAAGGACCCAAAAGGGGACCCTAATTTTGACAACCACCCATATAGGATTTTCCTCCCAAAACGGATCCTGAACCCTAAACCCTAAACCCTAAACCCTAAACCCTAAACCATAGGGGTTCCGATTTAGGATTTTCCTCCAAAAACGGATCCTGATCCCGCCGGCGAAGGCCCCAGGCACCCGGGCGACACTGCAGACAGCTTTGGCAGTTCGGGTGCACCCGGCCAGCGAAAGAGCCAACCTCAGAAGAAGAGCTCCGAACCCGTCTTCTTGGGGTTTAGGGTTTAGGGCTTAGGGTTTAGGGTTTAGGGGCCCTGATGAAGCCTCGATATCGAGTTTCTTATCGAAATCTGTGAGACAGCAGCCTGTCTGTCCTGGAAGCGTAGGGCCCAGGCCCGAGTGCGCCCCCTGCGAAGTGCAGAGGTGGCTGATGGCGCTGTTGGGGACGCCTCTGGGCTTCGTCTTCGAGCAGGTCCAGGCTCGGGGGGGCCGAAGTCGGATGAGGATACTTAAAGGAGCATGGGACTTAGTAGCTAAAGTTTTTATTGGGGTAGCTATACTTATAGCTACTTATAACCGCAATTGGGGTACTTATAACCATACTTACTAAGTCCCACGTTTGGTGGTAAGATTTGGGACTTTGGGGTTGAGTTCCAGACCCCCATGACAGGACCCTCTTTTAAGGCGGAGGCCTGTCTCTCGACTGGCAGCTGCAAGGGACGGGAACTGGACCCAGTCTTCCTCCTCACCTGGCACGAGAAAGGAGCTGAAATCCGGGCGTTAAACCGGAGGCTGCATTGCTCTCGGCGACTAGAAGGGAAGATGTTTGTCTACTGCCACGCTGCAGCGCCGCTTCAAACCGGATCCCAGCCCCAAGTGCCTTCTTTGCGGGCTTCAACAGGCTTGCACCTCGCTGCAGAGTTGCACACGGCGCAGGCGCGCGCGCGCGATGCTTGCGATGGTCGCAGCTGGGGAATGCCAGATGGCACAGGTGCCCTGCTGGGGCTGAGGAGGTTAGCAGCTTTCCCACGATCTGGGCAGCCTCGCCACCCCGAAGAGCTCAACCTATTTTGAACAAACGGCTCTCTAACAATCTCCGCCGAATTTAGGAATATCAGAAAACAAGGGACCCCTCTAAAAAAGTGGTATCCTATCAACAAGATCAAACGCAGCATCGCCACGTTTCGCGAACCCTCAATGGTTCCAGGCTCCTCGCTCGAATTTCTTTCGCTTTCTCAGACGCTCGAGCTCGTCGGCTGGGTCCTGGAGCATCCCAGACACCCCACGGGGTCGCTGTTAAGAGTGATCCTTGAAAAGAAGGGTCCCTTCAAAACAGGATCCCAAATAACAGGGTGCCTGGCAACAAACATCCCGCTTAAAGATAAGCTATATACCTCCCTGGTTGAAAGCTGTTGGAGTCTCTGGCATCTTGTCTTCGAATCCACACGCACCGCATCGCGCGTTCAGGCAACAACATTGGTCAGGCATCGTGGCATGCTGCTGAAGCAGACTACTTGAAGGTTCATGGCTCGTGAGAAGCAGGGCTGCAGTATCTATAGACCGCACTTTGGGGTCTGCAAGCGGGATGAACCCGGTCACAAGACAAGCTGACCTCCTTCGGCTCCTCGTGAAAAGGCGCCTTTCAGGGTGCTAATATATTGTCGCATGCAGTTCCCGCTATTTCAACCGGTCTCAGCTCTGGGGGCCGACCCCGAGGCGCCTGGCCCTCGCCCCCGGCGGCGTCAGCGTCCTCTGCGCCCTCCGCTCCCGGGTCGCCCGGGTCGCCCGGATCCGCCTCACGGCCCTCACCAGGCACGGGCGGCAGCGCCAGAGGCCTCGCTTGCGAGAGGTGCAACCGGAAAAGCCGGGTCCCGAACCAGAGCCGAGAGCCACACGGAGCCGGAGCCTCTTCAGCCGCCGGCCTCTCTGAAGACAACTCAAAACAGACTTTATAGCGCAGTGCTTTCCAGTTTTCGCGTCCTCCTCACAAGTAGGCACCGTGTGTGTAGTTCTCACCCGAATTTGTGAAGCAGGCTTTTGGAACTTCGCGCAGAAGAGCTCTCAGGCCTCCTGCGTGCGCCTGTCCGCGGCGATGGTCGCGGAGCCAGTCGACTCGGTGCAGACCAGAATGCTTCGCTTTTAGACCGCCGATCCCTCCCAGATGGCAACACGGCCCCTTCTCCGACTGCCGAAGATGTACCCATGTCACGCCCCCTCCCTCAAAAAAAGAAACGCGCCTTTTGGCTTTGGCCCGTGCAGGCTTGGGAATGTCCACCTGGCTGCAGTCTTCGCCGGTGAGGGCTGGGCCCACGGAAGTTGAACTCAGTTCCCTTCATCACCCTTCACCTTCGAGAGGTGTCGTTGGAGTCAAGATGCTATAGACGTCGCAGAACTACCACCAAAAACAAAGGCTGACCTTTCATCTACGGGACGTCCCTTTTCAGTCAAGCCCTTAAAGAAGTCGCAGAACAAAATAAGAATTCGAGCAGGAAGATCTGAGTGCGCATCACAGTAGCACTGCTCTGTTCGCCAGACATGGCCAAGGCTGCCGGCTCAGTAACTCTTGCCAGGCAGGCTGCCCAGATGCTGTCCACGGACATGTCGGAGCCCTGCCATTGCGCCAGGGCACAGGACACAAGTTTTTGAAAGGTAAGGATGGACAGAAGTCCGACTTCTGCAACATACCTGATCCCTCCCCATGCCCATCCCGCGGAGACTTGCATCAAATATGCTGGATACGTCTCTCCTTGGGTGCTCCACGGGTCAGAAGATACCTCAGCAGCACGCGAGCACGTGTTCACTGTCCAAACCAGGAGCGCGGATCGCGGGGGCAAGCCAGCTTCTTTTGAAAGGGCCTGACACCGTCTGCCCTTCAAAAACGACACGCTGTGCACTGGGCAGCCCCGGTGCAAATCATTCTCGAGGAGCTCCTCTGGATGCTCCGCAACTTCCGGTGCCTGCACATGATGCATCGCAGACGCCATTTCGTCTGCCAAAAAAAGAAAAGCGCTTTTGTTTTGAGAGCAACTACCTTCCCGGGCATTGTGTGTAGCGAAGGTCTTTCCGGCCTCCTCGCCGGCCCCACAACCGCTCCCCTCCTCAGGGCCGTCAGAAGGCGCCAGGCACCTCCGACAAAATGAGAAGAAGAAGCCGCGCTTACGCCCGATTTATTCTTCCCGAAACCCCGGCCCCCTCCAGGAAACCTCGGCTCGCTGCCGGGGTCCGGAGGCGGAGGCTCCATGGGGCCCGGGCCGGGCCTTCAGCCTCTGTCAAACTCCCAAAGACCCGGGTTTAGGGTTTAGGGTTTAGGGTTTAGGGTTTAGGGTTTAGGCCATTGTTTGTATTCCCCCGTGTTCTGGAAAGCTTGCCCTCTCGGCACTCATGCTTGCGTAACATGTACAAAGCCATTGGCTCCAAACGATGGCTTTGTGGCACAAAGCGGGAGCAGAATCTGCTGACCAACCCGGAAGGAACACATGTATTTGGGCATGTCCAAAAGGTTGCAACCTGCCTGTGTCCTGAAACCATTTACATCATGAACAATATGCTGCAGCTCAAACGAAATGGATCATTGCGGTCAGGCATCAGACTGTGATCGTACACGTTCCACATGCCAATGAAAAATCTCCGGCAAAGCGACCCGCTCTCAAACATGTCATAACTTGTGGCCATTACATATGCCAAAAAGGAGACCAAGAATGAAGGCAACAGCATTGTCAGCTGCAGCAACTTTGATTCTTACTGCATGGTATCCCTGTGTCTCATGTTGAACCTCTTTCATCGCGGAAGAAATCGAAATCATCCCGATCAAAAACCGGACCGGCAGGTTGAAACGTCCAAATGTTGACAACCCGGGAAGGCATCAGGCGAGAAGTTAAGATTCATGAATTTGAATTATGATGCAGGATGCGTCCCGATGCGTGTCGCAACAGCCAACGAATCAGAAAGCAAACTGTCAAGAGCAAGTATCACATCAACTAAATCTGGAGCGTGGTAGGATCCGTCAACGGTGAGTTAGCTGTTCGTCACGTCATCTGCACCCCTTGGAATTAATCTACTTCATCCATTCTGATCTCAAGCGCCCCCGGTGCCGAGCCAGAAATCAAAACGTGCACCACCAATTCTCCCGAATCTGATGCGTTTGTCCCATGGTTGGTATTTACGGCAGCCAAACCACACAGCTGCTGCTGCAATTGGTAAGAATACAGCAAATTTCAAGTTACTTGTTTGAAACGAAAACGTGCTCAATATACGCAATAACTGGCTGGACGCTGGAGTTATCCAGTTGTACCTTGCCAAAGAAATGGTGACTCCGTGTCCAGAATTGAAAATTCCAAGAACGAGCTTGAAAGTGGATTCCCGGCACCAGAACATGGGCCCAAAAATGGGACCGTTTTCTGAGCCTTCGAAAAATGTGCGAATACTAAAGGCACCAGAAACGGAGGCGAATTCCGGACCAACTTGTGGCCCCTCTCATCACTCTTTTGTTGAGTTTTCAACTCCCGCAAAACGCTCGCAGTTTGTCTTTTTCTTAGGCAGCCACTCCATCCAACAGCGCAGCGTGAGCTGCTTCAGACTAATGGACAATGACAGCAACAATTTTCTGCAGCTTAAGCTATGAAATCGAACAAAACAAACAGGAGATATTCCCGCGACTGGGGAGAGGCTTCAAGCCTTTTCAATCATGGCATGTCATCAGGGCAGACAATTGCCACAAACTGCGCCGAATTTTTGAGTGCGACCACAACTTAGATGCGACACAAACCAAGATTTGTTTACTGAGAGGGCCCCGTCCTTTGACCCCCGATTTTCTCTAGCAGGACAGCACCCAAAACGAGAGCATGTCCAGTCGTCTATGCAATCGGGTTTCAGCTGCACACACTCAGCCCCAAACGGAGGGAACAAGGGGATTGCAGAGACCTCATAACTGTTCTGCTTCTGCGGCAACGAAAACATCGTATGTACACGGTACCGCGCATGCCTTGTTCCCCTGTTCCATAACGACGCCTGCTGCTGTCACTTTGCGGCCAAACCACTCTCTGCTGTGTTCACTTTGGGCCCAGCCATGTCCTTTGGGGCCAGAGACAGCAAAACCACGTGTGCTGCTTTCACTTTGGGGCCAGACACAAAACCACATCTGTTCCTTTTACTTCGGGTCTAGACACAGCAAAACCACGTCTGCTGCTTTCAATTTGGAGCCAAACACCGGAAAAACCATATCTGCTGCTTTTCAGTTCGGGTCGAGACACAGCAGAACCGCGTCTGCTGCTTTGACTTTGGGTCTAGACAACGTCTGCTGCTTTCGCTTTCCAGCAAATCGCGTGTCCCTTCGGGCTTTCGCCTGCGTGCCCCGTTTTCCCATAGAATACCCCCTTTTTTCCAAGACAAACGTATCGCGGGCCCCGTTCCCGTACGTCATTGCACAAGTGTGTTACACGAGTCCAGGTCCCTGCAGGTCCCGGCAGGTCCTTGCGGATCTCGTTTCTACCAAAAAATGCCGCGATCACGGAAAAATTTCCAAGTCGGAGTCATCCATCTTTGCCTTCTTTGGACTGCCAGGGTTCTTGTCGCCCGCAGCCGCATTTCTCCTGTTGTTCTTTCCACTGAAGAAACTCTGCAAACTATGCCGCATCGGACTGCGGCTCCTGCTTCACAGGCTGCTCCTCTGGTGGGGACGTCTCCTATCCGGCTGTTGGGTCAAGGCCATGGCACCAGACATGGCTCAATCGCAGGAAAAATCGAAGTAGTTACAGTGAAAAGACGTAATCTGGAAACATCTGAAAACATCGGAAAGCTAGATCCCTCTGAAGAGATGGCACACACTGAGGTAACGGGCCCCCGGTAGGGGCAGGGCTTCAGGGCGGACGTACCACCACACCTTGTGCCAAAAGTTCCGCTGTTCTCCCCAAAGATCTTCTACCGCTGACGTGGCCACACTGGGTGAACTAAAACACTCCCTGGTGTGTTGCGGTCACATTGGTGAAAACTGAAACAGGAAGAGCTGCATGAGTGGCAACGTACGTTCAGGGTTCAGATGGCCACCATCTCTCGTTCATGCCATCTCATACATACAAAAAATAATTGAAATACACCTGCTAAAGCTGATGCGTGCGAAAAAAAAGTCTTCACCATGAAAGACTCCACAAAGACTAAGTCTCCATCTGAGTCTTTAACAGAGAGGCAGCATCTTTGTTGCGATTTCAGCGTTGCGAGTTGTTGCTGCGACAGCGGCTCGACAGCGACTTGACCGGTGCACGACCGGTGCACGACCGCAACTCGCGGCGCGACAACGGCTGCCCCTATCATGAACCTACCATGCACCTATCCTGCACCTAAGATACTGCACTGTTAGAGCGGTGGAACAGGGAAGCCGAGTTCCATTAGTCCACGATGCTCTTCCAACATTTGATATTTCCACGCATTCAACGAAACGGCCTTGTCATGCATGTCAATCCACGTTCCGCGTAGCAGTTTTTGACCACTTTTCGTTTTCAGCAATGTCGTTGCTTGTCCGTTTTCATCTTCAACCCAGACGCGACCTTCCATAAAGTTTCCCAAAGTAATGGCGTGGTTCGCATGTCCTTTCATGTTGAAGATATCACGATGCAAAGGCATAAACGGATTGTACAGCACGGCTGTGCCGCAAAGGGACACAGCTGGTGCGCAAAAGCCCTAGCAGCTCTCTTTTCTACTTGCCATCTGCGAGTTGCCCTTGAGCCAACCGTCAGGATCAGCTGCTTCGTCTCTGGTCAATACTCAGAATGATGCCTATGCAAATCAGCAGCTAAAGCTTCACAGTTCCCCCAAATTATAGTTGACCAGAGTCCGAAGTAGTCTGATCGGTGCTCATCTATCAGCCGCGCTACCGCCGCAGCGTGGCTGCGTCGTCGGAACTTGGGATCAGTAGCTCGGTTTTCGAGCTCCTCTTTGACATCCACTAGTGAAAGAGTGCCCTGCTTCAGGAACTCATCCATGGCACCGTTCCCCTTCAGGGGATCAAGCTTGGTCAAACTGTCGACGAGGTTCTTTTGGTGGGGTGACCATCTCACCATTGACTTGGTCTCCTGCAGGTCCTTCACGACGATGGCGAGTTCCAAAGCTGCCTTGCGATCTTGCCGGCCCTGGGGGTTCTCCTTCAGCAAGCAGTCGTACAAGGACTTGGCGTCGGTGACGGAGCACTGCTGTTGACGCTCGTGCAATCGGCAGTCTCCTCTCAACACCAACATGTGAGGGGAAAGGCTATTTCGCCAGCTGCGAAGCTCGACGTCATGAAACACCGCGTCGCGGATCATGATCTGCAGCCAATCGACTTCGTTGACGCCCTGCAGCATGGCTTGAACTTCCCCGCCAAAACTCGAGTACACTTTACGTTTGAGCTTGCTTGATCTCCAGGCCAGGATGGACCCTCTGATGCGCTCACGCCCGACTGGAAGTCGCTCCGTGGCAATCACAGCCCAGGCTCCTTGGGTGGCATCAATGGGCAGACCGGCTTCGTCGACCTCTCCTTCACGAGTGGTGATCCCTCCGGCGTCAGTGACCACCACGAAGCACAGCTCCCTTGGATCCATCTTCCATAAGGTGATGCTCCTCTCTGAGGTGTTATGAAGATGATTCACACACTTGTTGAGGGTGAGAACGTCGTCGATGGTGGCCACCTTGAGTCTCGATGCCATAATGGATGCCAGCCCGGCCATCTCTGGTCGGCTCTCTTTGGCCACCCAGTTGATCTTGTAGATGGCTGACCTTAGGGCTTCGAACTCGAGCTGGTTGAGGGTTGCTTTCTTGTCTTGCTTGCGGGACTTCTCCAGAGCAATGGGTCGGATCTGCTCTCGGATGTATTTCCCTTGGTCTACAAGAACTCGGTCTCCTAGGTGGCGGACGCGACGCCCAGCGTACTCAGCACTGCCCGCCTGCCACTTCCCAAAGTCAAAGCGACTCTTCAGCCCGGCCTCGATCTCCTTCTCGTGCGACTCCCGCGCCGTGACGATGAAGTCGTCCACTTCCAGAAGGATCTGGGAGACGTTCTGCGTCTCCCCGGTTTCCTTGCAGGCCTCGAACTTCATGAACCAACAGGGCTCAACGAGATTTCTCACGTAGCCCATGCCCTCCGTGAGATGCTCCACGACTGTCCGCCTCCACGCCGCGGGAGCGTCGTCGAGGCCGTAGACGGGGATGTCGATGGCTATGATCGCCCCTTCCGGGAGATTCAGTCCTGAGCAAGGCTCGGCGAAGAGAGGGCCGCCAGGACGCTTCAATCGATTGGATTGACAGAAAGCGTTCTTCACATCTGAGAAGACGAACCGATGTCCCAGGTTCAAGCTCGTCTGCATGAAGGCCATCATCCCCTCTCCTTGTGGGGTCGGGGCAAAGGTCACCAGGGACCCCGTGTCGGGATCCGTGTGTCCTCCCAGGCACCATCTCGACTTGGGCTTCCATCGATTTTCCTGGTCCAGTGGCTTACGTCGGCGCACCATACGTGATGAGAGGATTCTGTCTCCCCATTTCTTCCTCACCGCTGCCGCCTCCTCGCCCGTAAGGACCCTGACCGCCTTCGTCTTGAGGATCGCTTCCCACTCAAGTCGGTCGGACCCCTCGAACAGCTTCCGCTCCTCGTCCGTGAGCTCCTTAAGCGATATCTCATCGCTCCGCTTGGCCAGCAGGTTTAGCTCTCCAGACTGGCCCACATGAAACCAGGACCACAGCTCTCCGTCTTCTCGATCTTCTGGACGTCGTGGAGAACGAGAATGTTCACGGCTTCCGGATTCGCTGGCATTGGCCTGAGTGGAGCTCGTCTCCGGAGGCCCATAGTCTCGACGGACTCGCTGTAGTAGTCGTTGAATAGGAGTTCCTGGAGCTCTGGTACTTTCGGTTGTCCTTGCCACTTTGCTTGGAGGAGAATCTGATGCAGCGGCCCCCGACGCTGATGGAAGTCCGGGAGGTTCCTCTGGAATCACCGGCAACTCTTCTCGTCCGTCTGGCTCCTGCGCTGGCTCCTCCACTGAAGAACGCCTGGAACTGTTCTGAGAGGCTCGCAAGTGCTCCGGAGCAACCATTGGTTGGAGCCCGGGGGCAGGATCAGAAGGAGCTGGACCGATCAGTCCCGGTGGGATGGTGATTGGAGGTTGTGGTCCTTGAGGTACCTCACCTGGCGGGAGACGCATAGACAAGGGCACACCGGTCTCAGGTCCTCCCTCGATCGGTCTCTCCTCGATCTCGATCCTCTGAACTGGGTCACACTGCTCGGCCTCGCCTGGTGGAGGGCCCTCCTTAGCAACGTCCACCGCTCCTGCCCGTGTGTTTGCGGTCACCTTGCGCAGTAAGTCAGACAGGCTGGGGTCGGAGCTGAGCTGAGACCCGAGGACTTCGGAAGGGAAGGCTGGTCGTAGCTGCTCTGAGGTGCACCGCCACAATCTGGTCCGCATGGCGACCCATATAATGCCCTGGCCCTGCATGATGATCAGTCCAGGACCAACCCAGCGGGAAGTGGGATGAAGTCCATCCCCTGCCTTGGCTCTCCGATAGACGTAGACCCACTGGCCCAATGTCCACTTTCGACTCGGCGAAGTACTCGTCTTCAGGGCCTTGGTGATAGCCTCCTTGGAGGAGCTCTCCATGGCCAGCTGCTTGGCTCTTTCTCGGACGGCATTTCGCCTCCTGAACTCTTCCCCAATCTCGTCATTTCCAGAAGGGTCGTGGTAGGCGTCGACCAATGGAACAAGACCTCCGGGATGGTCGCCCAAGAGTTCCCCTGGGATACGTGGAAGTTCCCCGAAGACGAGTTGCACAGGGGTGTGGCCCCCCTGATTATACCACCTGTTTTTGGTGGATGTCAAAGTAGACAAGAAGAGATCGAGTTCTTCCAGCGAGCCAAAGGCACACCTTCCAGAGTCAATCTCTTGCTGCAGTCGTCGTTTTAACCAACCTCCGTGACGTTCAGATTTGGAATTTTGCCACGGTGATTCCGCAGCACATATGTGCTGCAGACAGCCTGACTGCTCCGCGCCGCGCTCAAATGCTCCACGGAACTCGTTCCCTCCATCGGAGATGATGAGATGCGGAGGGCCGAGGTAGCGGATCCAGGACTCGGCGAGTCCCTTCCAAGTGGCCTTGGCCGTTGGAGTTCCGGAAGCCCCGAGAATCCGAACCGCCACGTGGTAATTAGTCCCGGTACAGACCATGTTAAGGATCGGGACCTGCGTTCCGTTGAACTTGACGTACATGATGTCGACGGAGAGCACCCGGTTAAAGGAAAACACACGTGGGCACTGAGCGCGCCTCCTTGCGTCCGCCTGCTTTTTGATTCCGCAGTCATCGCATTGAAATTCATTCTTGACGTATTCCAAAACATGCGGAAGGGCTCCGGCGGCTCGAAGTGTCCGTAACAGTCGCGCCATGGGGGGGTGTCCTGTATTGATGTGAATCTTTCGGACAAGCCGTTTCTGCTCGGCTGTCATGGTCTGAGGGGCTTCTGCGGGATCGGCCCTCTCCGGAACACCTCGCTCTCCGGCCACGGGCTCCTCCTCGTCCTCGCTGATCTCCACGACCTCGGGGAAGGAGGCCCGCTCCGGGAAGTTGTGGTTTCGGCCGTGCTCCCGGACTGCCTCAAAGAAGACGGACTCTTGGCTCCAGAGGATCTGCGGGTCGCGCTCATATCCGTGAAGATTGAATCCAAGCTGACCCAAAACGGCCTGGTCGCCCGCGGCTAGGACGGATGAGGTTCGGGTGCGGTATCCGCTGATGCTCCATCTCTCCCCGGTGTAGGGCTCGACGCCGTGGAAGTCCCGACCAGAAAATGTAGTCACCTTGTGGTGGGTCGCTTTAAGGCTTCCGGCCTTCCAGGTTCCTGGTCGGACTTGCCTCTGCACTGAGCCTCCGCTCTGCTCCACCCACAACTGGCCACCAGTGAATTTGCCGATGGCGATGGTGTCGGTCTCGCCGATGTTGTTGACGTCCTTGTGGTAGGAGATGTGGCTGTTGATCCCGATGGTGATAGAGGATCTCCCAGAGAGGCCGCCGTGTCGTGTGAGATAGTTGTTGACGTAGCGGCACACCCACGGAAGAAGTCGCGTCGCTCGAGTGACTCCCGTCATCCCACCGTGGGTGAACTGGCCGAAGGTGACCGTCTGTCGTCTCTCCCGACTCAAGCCCTTGGCGTGTCGACGCCTCCCAATCGGCAGCTCGTCCCAAGGAACGCCCCGAAGTAGCCGGAGACACCCGCGATGAGTAAAGTCCATATCCCTGAGAAGCCGACGAGCCTCCATCTCCACTTCCTGGAACTTCTCACTTGTAGTCGAGGAGGTTGAGGTAAGCAGGACCTCGCTGTGGATTGGTGTTGGGAGAAGACTGGCATGGCCGTTCGCTTGCCGGTCCTTCGTGTGCTCCAGGTACCCGTTCTCGACAAGACGGGCCCCCAGGTCCAGGTCATTCGTGAGAACCAAGTCGCCAGACTGAGTCATCAAGACGCAGTTCTCCGGGTCCTCCCGTGCTCGCTGGCCCATCGAAGAACTCCAGGTCGGACTGAGGTGATGAGCCTCGACAACGAAGTGGCGCCCCTCTTCTCTTTGACGAAGTGCCACCTCCCAGGCGAGTGCTGCTTGCACTGCATGGCCGGCCCGTGCCCTTGTAGTCGCATCCCCGGCTGGAACCACGATACGTGCCAACCGAGGCCGGCACATCTCCAACGCCTGACGTAGTCGCTGTCGTTCGGACTTGGGCAGTCCGGTCCAGCCGGTCTGGCTGGTAAATTCCTGGCTTCCCTCAGCAACTTGCATGCCGCTTTGCCGTGCTAAGGTAGATAGCATCCCGGAAGCGAAAACCTCGAGGACGTCAGTCCGGTGTTGCTGTAGTTCTCGGTGCCGGCCACGGCTGAGGTGCTGAAGGTTCCGGGTCGCCTCCTCGAACTTGTCCTGAGGGTAGATCAGCTTGTCGTTCTCGGTCGCTTGGGTCTCAAGGAGGTCGAGGAGGGTCTCGGACATAAAGTGCCAGAAGGGGCCGACTTCGGACGGGTTGCCATGCTCGTTTATGCCAATGATGCCGAACCGCGGGTCGTGGTGGAAGAAGGCGAAGTGCATCTGCTCGTCCATGGTCCACTCCGTAGTGCCCTCGGCCGGGAAGGAGGTCGACCTCGGTGCCGGTCCGGGCCCGCGGCTGCACACTATTCCTTCGTGATCGCGCGCCTCGTGCCACACAACCTTGTCCAGCGAACTTCCAGTTGATTTCTGACTCATCCAAGCATGCCGCAGATGAGGCGGAAGGCGTTGTAGCTCGGCTCGACCATCGGCGGAACCACTTCCTGCTCTTAGTGGATGTTGTATGAGCCAACTCCCTGGGCCACCGCCAAGTTCACGAAGCCGTTCCTGTAATTCCGTTGAGCATTGGCCCCATCCGATCAATGACGAAGCGAGCACTAGCCCAGTCATCCACCGGGGCCAGACTAGGGCATGTCCAGGAGGTTGGGATTCGGGTCGTTCGAACCGGACCCGGCGTCTGGCGATACCGGGGACCAGCTCTGGTCGCTCGTCCCTTCGTCCCCGCTCACTTCCATTGGGACGGCGGCGGCCTGCACGGCCGCGGTCCTGATCTCCTCCATCGTCATCTCCGTGAAGTTCTGGACGGGGTTCTGGGCAGCCGCCATCATCATGATCATGCGGTTCTGTCCACGGGTGAGCTCGGCCATGGTGGCATTCATCTCGCGAAATCCCAACGCCATCATCTGCAGGGCCGACGCCACTTCCGGGCTCCCCTCGGGAGCCATTGGTCCTTGAGTCATCTTGCTCTGGCGGGCACGGGAAGAGTCGCGGTTCTCCGCCAAGTTGACCGCAAGCCCCGAGCTGCTCCCTGGCATCCCGGCAGAGTATCCAGGATTGGTCGCCGTGGCCTTTGCCTTGGGCTTCGCCTTCATCCTGTTGCGGGAAGCATAGTTCAGGCGAGCATTGCAGTTGGCGCAGACCTGCCAGCTCGCGTATTGATTTCCCCGATTGATGTGTCTGCCGGCATGGAGGCATCGCCCAGGAACTTGATTGTCTGCCTCCAGGTACTTTTTCTTGTCGGTCGTCACGGCCTTCTGTCCTCGCTCCGCCATGATGAGCCGCACGTAGACCATCCTCGTCGTCTCCAACAGAAAGAAGGTGCGGTTCACGAGCGCTCGCCACCGCTGCAGCGTCAGCTCGGCACGGGTGCGTTCCATGTCGCGCGGAGGAGGATCCACCTGGGAGGGCCTCGTTCGAATTGGAGTGCATCTGATCTTGAGGATCAAGAGCTTCTGGATCACGCGAATGTTGAGCAACACTCCGGTTGGGTTCGGGCTCATGTGGGTGTTCAGCGGGTTTGGGCTCATATTCACTGCATGCATGTTCATGACAGACAGCTTCAAGAAGAACACTCGCATCAGCACGATCTGCTCTCTGATCTCCGAGATACACCAATCGACTGGACAGCACATTCCCTTGTTTTGCATACAGGGAGGAGTCGCTGGCCTTTCGCATGAAGGCGTCCTTGGGAAGCTTGTACTTCTCTCGAACCTCTGTAGGGATCGGAAAGAAGCCACCTGGCCACTCCACGAGTGGGATTGTCCTATGTCCGGAGGGCTCGCGAGTCATCTTGCGAGTCACCCCAATTTTCTCAAAGGTGACCTGATCGTTCACCAAGCTGAAGGACGCGCCCAAGTACTCGAGTAGTCCTACTGAGAGAAGTGGTGGTACATTGCCCTCTATGACAACAAAATGCACGATGCCCGGAATGCCGCCGGGTGAAATCGGCACAAGGACAGCCTTGGTGACGCGGGCGGCACCGCCTATCCCAGTCGGCGCCCCCTCTGGGGCTGGGACCTCGATGTATCGGAGGCCTGAAGCCTTCAGGGCCTTGTCCAAGGACTCAAGAGCCGGAGCTCCAATCAAATCTTGTGTTGCTCCTATGTCTAAAATCGCGGTTCCGCTCTCCAGAGTCAAGAAGCTCATGGAGTCGGCGATGGGCTGCCTCGGGAAGATCTGCTTGGCGGCCTGCATAATCCCGCCCAGCTCGGACATGCTGATCCCCGAGAAGAGACTACGACCCCCATCGGCTGGCCCCAGGTAGCAGAAGCCAGAAGCCTTGGGAGGATCGGCACTTCCGGTTGGCCTGGACCCGTCGCAGTCCTCCGCCCAGTGGCCTTTCTTTCCGCAAAGCCTGCAGGTGGACATGCGCTTCAGCTCGGCGATGGACCGACGCGGCCGATCACCGCGATGGCCAGGTCGCGGTCCGCTTCCAGAGTGTCCTGCGCCTGACCGGCCACCCGGAGGGTGATGAAACCCTTTCTGAAACGACCTCCGGTCCTTCCTCGCCTCAGCCTTGAAGAGCTTGTTCTCCTTCCACGTCCTTCTCTTCCTCGGGGCACGACTCTCCATCATGGCGAAAACCATCTTGGCCTGCTCCTCGGTGAACGAGAGGTCCTCGAGCTCGGCTAGAACGAGGTCATCCGGCAGGGACTCGTCATCACTGCCCTCGGCCTCCTCATCGTCCTCGTCCTCCTGGGCGAGGTAGGAGTCGTCCTCTGGCGCCTCGTGGAATACTGCCCCAGACAATCGATCTCCCCGAACGTCCAGTCGAGCCAGGGTAGCGGCCAAATGATCCACGTCCGCCTCTCGACCTTGGGTCATCACCGTCAGATTCTGGAGGTTCTGGTCGCTCAAGCCGGCGCCCTCGCGTAGTAAGGCAACCTTGAACTCGTCGGGGAGGAGGATCCCGTAGCTCGCCGCTTTCGTGAAGTCTCTGATCCTCCGATTGGCGAACTGTCCGAGGGTCTCATCCTTGCGCCGGGTGCTGCCGTGGATGACGTTGCGAAATGTCTGGCGCTTCTCGTCATCGTCCCGCACTCCGGCCTTCATGCTCATAACCCCAAGAATGAGATCCAAGTATCCGGGGGCGGTCAATGCGTCCTCTGTGAGATGCTCGAAGTCAACCTGCATCTCCCATCCAAGGCTTCGCAGGATCTTCTCGGCACGCCTGAACACCGGGACATCCGTCTGTTTGTCCCATCGCCTCAGGGCCACCTCCCACTGCTTGCGGTAGGTCCATCCAGGCCACGCCGGAGGATCGGAAAAGTCCCCCTTGCCCGCACCCCAGGGCCATGAGCTGCTCGCCGCAGCCGCTCCTCGGTCAGGTAGAACTCCGGCGGCTCCATGATGTCCTCCCGGAGGTACTGCAGCTCCTGGAAGAGGGGGAACTGCTCCGGCAGGAACCCCGTAACCTGGTAATGGAGGTGCATGTGGAGGAACAAATAGTCCTGCGGGTAGATGAGCAGGCGCTCCGTATCCTGGGAACTGAGGCACATACGGATATCCACCCATAATGGTGCCGGACGGCACCGCTCCTTGCGTAGCGAAAGCAGGCCATGGAGGCGCCTCTGGGCGCATCAAGCCCGGTGACCTCAGCGCGGCAGCCGACCCGGAGCCGCCATCAATGACGTTCCCGAGTCCTACGCCGCCGCCGGACGATGTCGCTGTAGCCGGAGGCGGCCCAGTGCCTTGGGTCGCGGCCGCGATGAGTTGTCGAGCCGCATCTCGCCACGGATCAAAAGGTGAGCCTGGTGGATCTAAGCCTCCAGGAACACCGGCTGGAAAAAACTGCGATGGCTCTGCTTGGCCAGCCTGACCCCCAGACTGGTCGCCCCCGTGCGGCTGCCCCGGGAACTGTGATGAAGTCGCCGCCCCGTCTTGGGTCATGTAGTTGAGGGAAGGCCCCCCGTAGGTAGGGATCTGTGGTCCCCATGTCGGCGGCTGTCCATTCCAGTTCCTCTGCCACACTTCCTCAGGCCATCCTTGTTGGCTAAACTCCGCAGAGAGGTAGCGAAATGCTTGGGCGTCTGCAGCACCAGCGGCGTCCATCGCCGACAGCTAAATCACGAGCAAGGCCTCACGGACCAAGCTCCGCTACCAACTGTGCCGCAAAGGGACACAGCTGGT